AATATTTTCTTAATAAAATCAGTTCTACATCAGTATTCAACTCATTCACCTGACAAGGAGTAGGCAGATTGAGGCCTTGTCAGCAACAAACCCTTTCATACCGATTTCCAGAAATCGGGAGAATTGGCCTTAAATTGGTTGTCCATCAGTCGACAACTAATCAAACCCCTGACAAGGAGTAGGCAGATTTAGGCCTTGTGAGGGGGAAATTTCCTTGTGGGGAAATAGCACTCCACATCTCTAAACAAATTTCTATTGTTGTTAGTACACTACTAAGGATTTTAGAACGAAATATCACGAATGCGGTGTTGAAAGATTATTACCTATATCCCTTTCATTTGTTCACTTGGGTTCCAAGATAATTGGTTTAGTTCTCGATATTTTCAGATTTTATTGGTATTCTCCTCTATTAGGTTGTTTGCATTTGGAATGGCCACGTCGATAAATGTAGTTTCTCTTGTTCTTTGTCAACCAGGACTAGATCAGGCGTGTTGTGGGGAACTGTTTGATCTGTCAAGATAGTGCTGTCCCAGTAGAGACTAAACTTGACATTCTCCAAAATTAGCTTCGGAATGTTTTTGTAGTAAGACACCTTTTCCCTCTGTAGAAGATATGGAATAATATCCTGCCACTGCGATGTTTTTTGTTTTCCTTATTGCAGCATACACTTTCAATATTCGGAAGTATTGTTGGTTCGATACTTTGGCTTTTTCATTCATCAATATCTGAACCTTGTTTCAGATGAGATTGAGGCCTTCAAGGAAATCCGTTATGACCTTATCCTACGACGGCAGAGTGGAACTGTCAGTAGCTAATGTCACTTTCAAAGACGCGGGTGTTTACACTTGCATTGCTTCAAACGAGGTTGGCAGTGCGGAGAGTACTGCTAGAGTTGAAGTGAAGGCAGTAGAAGAATTAGATGGTTGTGTACTTTCTACTCCGGAAAAAACGGAAATGTAAGTAGTCAAATCATCATTTTTTAAACTGCAAGAAAACAAATTTTCAGACATCGACTCATCATCCCTAAAAATAAAGATTTGAGAATGTTTTTTTAATTCAGTGGACCTATAGTTCAACGGCTGTTCCAAACGCCCTATGTGCTTGTAATCAACGTACACTACCCAGAAATTACCATTATTAAACAACTTAAATCAAGAACAAACACATACACCCATGTTTTCCCGACTATGTTTATTTATGTCGAATTAGTATATCTCATTATATTATACTTGTATGTGGAATACTAGTATAAGACTTTATATATACTTTTTAAGACAGAAAAAGTGGAATCGGTTTAATCATCAAAGTATGACTCACATTACCATTTTACATTTTACATAATTTACATTCTCATTACAGTATTCTACCCGTGAGCGTTGAAAAGAAACTTATAATCTTCATATAACACAACAAAAATCAATATCCGCAATCTTAGATCACTGACAGACAGAAACGAAAAGAAAAAAGAATTTGACGATTCAAAAGAACACAGAATACATGTCTATTCTCAAAAGACGATTGGCTACTCTCGTAGTACTGCTCGAGAGTTTCATTGATTTTATTTTCAAGAAAAGCACATTTCACAATTAATTTTTCTGTACACTGAAAGTACATTGATGGTAATCCAGTGGACCAACAGTTTAACGACGGTTCTGAACGACCAAAGGCTTTTGACCAGTGTACATTACCCAACAACTATCATAATGTAATTAATGAAACCATAGACCATAGACACACCCATGCCTTTACCGGGGTTCGAACCCAAGTCCTACCGCACGGTAGTCGGGTGTTTTCCCGAATACACCACGGAGATACATTGTACACAAGAACCAAGTGAATGTCAATTACTTTTTTTCTATAAAGCTGGAGAGTTGGGTATAAAATACGTGTTTTGCATATGACCTTGAGAAGTTTGTTTTGCCATTTTTAGTGACCTTATTGAATTCGCTTATTCTTTTTCTCTGAATTTATTTTGACTCCTTTTAAGTACAGCTTGACTATTGGAACAAACATACACGATAAGAGTTGACTATTTTTACATAATTTACATGATATTAACATTATTGTTTTGGTTAACTATTAATCAAATTAACGTCTTAGCCATATATTACACAATATATGCAAAATATCATTTAAGAATATAGAGATCGCAGAAAGATCAACTCTGCATACCATTACAAGAATAAGATACACATTGAACAGACTACACAACTCCTCTAATGAGCTAATATAATAAATAAATAATAAACATAGAATCAATAAACAATCGACTCCAGAAATTAATCGTTAGTTCCATACAAGACTGAACAAACTTGAAGGTATTTTACCGATGTTCCATGATACCTAAAACAGGAACTATGTACGAAGAAAATTCCCAAATGAAACACTACTTGAAGAACTAAGCAAATTATAAAGTAATTGATAAAAATCAAATTGACAGTATATATTGAATTGACTCAAGGAGCTAGAGTATGAGTATAAAGTAAAGGAACCTTTTGTATGAATTTGTCATTTGATAAACAACTATTCAATTATATATTACGTGATATTTCTTGTTTCGTTTTGAAAGAGATTCTACTCTATTGTTTGTATAAGAAATATATTGTTAACGTACAAAATTATCTATATTTTATTCTAGTCTTCTTAGACTAGAATATGTTGCATTTGAACTCTTGTTCGATAAATGTAACAATTTATATTTCAATTCTACTGAATATATGGGCAGCAACATCCACTATCTGCCTCTCGCCACATTAAATTTTCGTTAATTTTTCAATTAGTAGGACTGATCATACTAATATTTTCTTTTTTGTTTCATTCACTGGGCTTCGACCGAACGTCCAATGGGCAACATCCATTATCTGCCTCTGGCCACATTAAATTTTCGTTAATTTTTCAATTAGTAGTACTGATCATACTAATATTTTTTTTTTGTTTCATTCACTGGGCTTCGACCGAACGTCCAATGGGCTTGTCATCGATGTAAATTACCGAACAATTATCACCAATTAATAATTTAAATAATGGACAAACACACCGAATATTACGTCACCATAGACGGATGTTCTTCTTCGCAATAACTTCATCTACTCACACATTACATTATTGATCATATATTACCAAAGGTAGTTTAACAATATAATTTTCAACAACTTCTACACATACTTCAATCTGTATACTTAGTTGTATAACGTAGGGCGCGAAGAAACACATAGTCGATCGTAATTTAACTTCAGTTTGGTCATATGTACAATTATTCGATTTTCATTTTTATCCTCAGGTATTCACAACAACCGAAATTTCTGAAAAAACCTCGATCAACAGAAGCGTATGAAGGTGACAATATTGTGATATTATGCGAAATCATTGGTGATCCAGAGCCTGATGTGATTTGGCTGAGAGATTTTCTGAAAGTGAGTACCTACATTGAAATTATATGGTATTTTCGAAGAATAACAATGCAAGTTATTTATATAGAAATTGTTGTTCTTACACAATGTTTCGATTTCAGTTTCACACTGGAAGTTTAGGAATAGAAATTTATTTCAATTTCGAATCATGAGTATTGCTTTTACAATAATTTAATAAATCACACGGAGGTTTCGGTTATCTCTTATAATAATTTAATACTAAATTGTCTGTTTGTGATCTCTTGGTGAAACATTGTTTAATATTTATATTAAACAAAAAAACACTTGGCTTGGTTTCACAAAATTTATAATGAATACTTGACAATTGATGAGGCCAATACTTGGAGAAAATTAATATCCAAAATGAAACAAGATTTAGAATTTTCTCATAATTTTAATACAAATGCGCATGACGACGTTTCAAAGTACTACTTCTTTATCAAATGCTGGATTAATACTAGGTGTAATTTCACAAACTCAATACTTATAGCTATTTCACAGAACATACTAGGTATGTTCTATGACTAACTTGGAATAAGGACCATAGAATAAAACTCTTTTAAAACAACAAGGAAATGGACACAGAAAATGAATTTCTTTCATCAGGTATACCAACTGAATGTAGGAGAAGATACAAATAATATACAACTAAGATTTCTAGAGCAAATAAAGGAAAGTTGAAATTTTTTTGAGCATGAAACATAAAATTGAAAGTAATTTAACTAAAACTTAGGTAATCAATCTGATCTGCTACCTGGATTATTCTTATTGAACATATTAAGTAGAGGGCTAGTGTTAACATCTAACTGGCTATTAAGTAAAAGTCCAGAATTTTTGAATTTATTAATCTGTAATGATTCTAGAAGATTTAGTTTGGAGCCTTTATTCTCTCTATTTATTATTTCAAACTCTCAACTTAATCTATGACTTTCCTCTACTAAATGGTTAGCATAATGATAATCTGTTTTCTTTTTTTCAAAACTACGTTTATGTTCCGATAATCTTATTTGAAAATTTCTGAAAGTTCTTCCTATATAAAATTTCTCACAACCACCATATTTGATTTTGTATACCCCACACATTTGATTTTTATTAATTTTTGATTTATTATTTTTAATTATGTTACCAATATTATTATTAGTGGTCCGAAAAGAAATATTATTATTATAGCTTGCGAAAACTGATTTTAAATTAGGTGTCCCCATATATGTTAAAACACTTAATATTGACTTTTCGTGACAATTGTTTTGTCACATTTTCAAAAGTTAAAACCATTATCTTGTTTTTCCAGCCTTGTTATAAATTTCTTGAAAGCAAGCCAAGTGTTTTATTTAATATAAAATTCAATAGTGAATATGAAGAAATCATTTTCACCAAATCATCTTTACTTTCAGAACACAACTATGAATATATTATCAAAACTTCAATTATAATTTGAAACTTCAATTGCTACAGAGTTGTTTTTTTTTAATTCAGTGGACCTACAGTTAAATGCCGGTTCCGAACGGCCATTGGGCTTGTTATCAATGTACATAACCCAGCATATATCATTATTTAAACTACTTGAATCAGGACATACACAAATGACCATGCCTTCATCGGGGCTCGAACCCGAGTCTATCGTACCATAATCGGGTGTTTTACCTACTAAGCTACGTAGACTGGCACCTACAAAGTTCATGAAGAACATTTCCGGTTTCAGTTTTTATATAATACGTAATTGAGGTCTATAACCAACACAATTCAATACGTTCTTATGACGTTCGGTTACAACGCTCCAAATTAGGCTCACTCCTTTACGTAATGAATAAGAACTACTCAGTGTGGTAAAATAGTATGAACATATATATCTTAATCTTTTTCTTTTATATTTTCAATAACAATTCTGAGAGCAAACTAGTGGCAAAAATTCTTCACAAAAAACTTCATCAGAAAGCTGTACGATTAGTATTTCCGTATCAGTCTGATAGAAATCGGAAATATAATAGTTTATCATACTTTTGGAACACCAAGTCAAAAAGTCAGAACCTTTTTACAGAAACATTATTTCAATATTTCATTCAGAACAAACAATAAGTTATCGAGACACATCAAAAACACTAAAAACTAAATTAAAAGAGAAGATAAATCTGGTGTTTACTAGAATCCATGAACATAAATACAGTTTCACATATAACAAAAGCAATTCGAATCATGCGAACCATTTATTAACAGAAAACCACACTTTCGATACTTATTTCAAAGTGTTACATAATATATAGAAAAGTAGCCAATTAGATTTTTGGAAAATAAATTCGCATAAAAATTTGCTTGATGAACATATACAATTAAACAATCCATCCTTGTTAAACCTTTTCAGTTAATAAAAATTATATTTTAGAATGGAATATCTTGGGTAAAACCCAGAGTCATAGAATCCTAAAATTCCGTTGTTATTTATACCTGTTTTTCAAAATTCATATTTAGTCTGTATTCTAGTAGCATCTGGAGAACTCGTTTGTAACGACGAAACGCGTCATGATATGTTATCAAAAAAAGTTTAAATCAAAAGTTCAAGTGTTCGAATTTCATTTTATAATCATATAAATTTTGATATTCCTACTGAAAAATCTCTAGAACTTCAAGTACTGCACGAGCAGGAATTCGAACTTCTAAATCCTAAACTAGACAAATCATCGGTACTATAAACACCTCGTATTATGGTTCCAAAAATGATTCACATCACACATTTGAGAAAAATTCAGGGGATATTGATTTCACGTATCAAATATTTGTATGGTGAACGGAGTATCTTGAATTAATGAAGTTTTGTGATGAAAATTGTGCGAAATATGATGAAATCGTTAATCATTCTTCAGATCTGGAACTCGGTTTCGTAACAATCGTTTTATGTATTCTCTAACAGTTTCAAAAACAACGAAATAACTCATTATAATAACTCTATAATAACTATTGTAGGAGGTAAATGGCTCCTGTACAAGAGGCTAATAACTAATGAGACACGTCATTCGATCTTGTGTAAACGCTCGCTTGGGACTTATATGGCAACGAAACTCTTTCTTAGTGTGCCATGACGAAATACTCGGATTTTACTGCGCACAGTGCGATATTGCTCGCACTAGTCATTTCAATAATTTTTCTATATCCCTTCGTTTCCGCTGAGGCCGAATATTACGCACGAATGTGATTTTTCCGAATGGTAATACCTATGTCGAGAAATCTATAAAAATTCTCGTATGCGCGGTCATAATCTTGAATTTATTCGCTGTTTACAATCGTAATTTAATTAGCTAGCAGCGGAAGCGAGCGTAACTTTGCAAATTATTGGCGGTAAATGTGTCACTTACTATTAGTTTACAACTTCGTGAATAATGTTTCAGATTTATGGAATTCATTTGCAAAAGCGTGTAGATCGTATATTTTAACGAAAGAAAAATTTGATTCGAAGGTGGTATTAACATGAAATCTAAGAATTGTTTTGGGGGTGTATGAAATTAATACAAATAATCCGAAATTTTTATCATTATATTGTTATATTGTTTGATCTCAATGAATTATTCTTCACGAATAATTGATTCAATTTTCAATTGAATGGCTTTGTTTGTTAATGGATATGCGATGTTTTGGCGTCATATTTTGATGAGAATTTCGAAATGGGACATTTGTAGGAGATATACCTATACACACACACACACACACACACATATATATATATATATATATATATATATATATATATATATATATATATATATATTTATATAGAAAGAATAGCGTAGTTTTTTTTTAATAATAAAATATATATATATATATGAATATATATATACATATATATTCATATCAAATGGCTTCAATCGTGTCCGGCTTGTCCACATACACTAACTTTACATAACCCCACAAGAAATAATCCAGAGGCGTCAAATCGCATAATCTTGGCGGCCTATTCACAGGACCATTTCGACAGATAAGCTGCTCACCAAATTCATCCTTCAACATTTCCATTGTTTCACGATCTGTGTGGCATGTGCCACCGTCATGATGAAACCACATGTCAACCAAGTTCAATTCGGCCAACTGGGGCAAAAAAAAGTTGCGTATCATGTTTCGATACCGTTTGCCGTTCGCGATAACGTTTTTTCTACGTCTTTGAAGAAAAATAAACCGATGATGCAACTAGCACATAAAACACACCAAACTGTCGTTTTTTCGGGATGCATCGGTAATTATGGCATGTGGCGGTTCATCACTTTAGATGCGACGGTTTTGTTTATTAACATATCCGTTAAGCCAGAAATGAGCCTCATCGCTGAACACAATTTTTCGATAAAGTAGCAGATTTTCATTAAGCTGTTCTTAGGTTCATTCACCAAAGATTAGACGTTGTGGTAGGTCATTTAGCTTCAATTCTTGCAGAAGTTGAATTTTATGGGCTTCCAAATCCAAATCAACACGTAAAATTTGCCATGTGGTTGAGTAACACATGCCCAATTGCTGAGAACGGCGACGAATTGTCATTTCACGATCCTCATTAACACTGTACGCTACGGCTGCAATATTCTCTTCAGTACGCACTGTACGCATCCGAGACAATGGTTTAATGACCAACAAAGTATACTTGGTGCGAAATTCGGTGATAACGGCACGAATTGTTGATTCACCAGGTCGAATATGACGACCATGATATGGTCGTAACAAAAGATACACATTTTTCACAGAGCACGAATTTTGATAGTAAATTTCAACAATATGCAATCGTTTGTAAGTCTTTCCATGGTAAAATGGCAGAGTATACTGAAAACTTTCCACTTTGACATATGACGTCTAGATATATATATATATATATATATATATATATATATATATATATATATATATATATATATATATATATATATATATATATATAATCATATGATTTGCAGCTTATTCAACCATTTCTATTCTTTGTGTAGCCTCCTTTACATATTTATATATTTTACTTCCATTTAGGCCCATTGTTGTCTATTGCTGTCTATGCGAGCCCAAGTTGATCCATCGAGCTTCTTTATGTCGTAATCCCATGTTATGTTGGGACGTTTTCTTGGCCTTTTCACACCTCGGGGATAGATACCATTGCGTTTTCTCTATGGTCCATCGTCCGCCCTTCTAGTGAGATATCTTGCCCACTGCCACTTTAGAGATCTGATTCTATTAACGATATCTACCACCTAGGTTTTTTGCCTGATACATTCGATCCTTTTTCGATCTCTCCTTGTTATTCCGAGCATGCATCGTTCCAACCTCTGTCCCATCTGGAGCTTTCTAGCGATCAGTTTTCAGGGTCCAGGTTTCACAACCGTATGTCTTATGTATTTCATAAAATTCATGTCCTATGGAGTTATGTTATTAGACCACTGTTCGCGACCTCTAAATCATAATACAGAGGAGAGCTTACACATAAACTCACAGGCTCCGTTAATCAAGTATAGATCGTTACCATATTTCTGTTCTCTCACGGCAAAATTGTGTCACATTCTCGGTGAAATCGACCAGCTGAAAGTTGCCAAATACAATATCATTTCTGGCAGAAGTGCTTTTACAAGATTGAAAGATAAGGTGCCACCATCGTTAATAAAAGACTGTGTCTATAGTATTCCTTGCTTGGATTGTGAAGGAGTATATATAGGTAAAACATCGCAAACATAGATGTGCTTCAGCACTATATTCCTCAAAAAAGGGACATCGCTTTTATTTTGGAAATTTGAAAGCACTGGATGTGGCTGGTGGTTACCAGAAAAGGATTTTCTTAGAAATGGTCCGCATAAATAAAAATGTCAATAGCAGGATAAGATATCAATAAGAGGACGGACATCTCTATACTCAGCGGCATTTACAGTTACTTAGTTTGAAACATTTTGAAGAAGACTTCCTTAAACAACTTCTTAGTTTTAATAGACATTTTGTGTTACGTGCTCGGTATGACATGTGTTTCTACAGTGGTTTACTCTCTTACCTTCTGTGCTTTTTCGTACATATTTATCTCTTCTCCTGCAATTATAGTCTATCGGCTCTATAGTTGTTGGTTAGGTTTCCGTAATTTTTATATTTTCATTTTGTAGTATTAATATCCACTTCCTGTATAATATCATATATGTATTTTTAAATATTTAATTGTGTTGGCGTTCACTTGATGTAAGCCCATTATAATTGAAGTTCAAGTGTTTGAATTTAAGTTTAATTAAATATATTTTTTAGTATACACACTGCTGCTTATGGTGTTGGTCAAACATATAACCTAGTTAGCTGTAAGATGTAACAATTTTTGTCATGACATTTATTAACATTTGTTATTTTAATGAGTCCTGATGAAGATTATAATCATAATCCAAATATAGATCAGATTGACAAATTGGTTACATTTCAATCATAGTGGTCCTCCTTTTTGCCGCGAACTCATGATAATATTTTCTATATATATATATATATATATATATATATATATATATATATATATATATATATATATATATATATTACGATTTTGTAAAGTTCAATTTCAGGTGTATTTCTTCGTATGTAAAGTTTTTGTTTTCTACATGAAATATGCAAGTGGAGAAATATAAAAAAGAGTTCAATGAAAGTCTTCGTTGTCATTTATTGCGAAATTATCTAATTGAGAAATT